TTACCTCTCTCTCTGATGGCCTGCGTGGGTAGAGAGGGTTGCGCAAAGAATACTGACATCACGAATACACGTACGTTACGCGCGCGCAATGCAGCAGCGGTCAATTGCCACTGTTGATGACTGAGGATCATCGCAACAATATGCTTCCTCGTAGGACACGTGGAGACATGTACAGCCGAACGCAGCGACCACGCACGACAAGCGGAGGCACACAACCAAACCGAACACGGAGACCACTCAGCAGAGAAGACGACGTGCGCACCGCTTCACAGCTGCGGCCGAGCTCGTGCAGATGAGAGAAGGGAAAGAGAGATATAGAGAGACAGGAGAGAGAGGCAGGGATGCACAAGTAAGGAAGGAGGGAACGATAGTGAGCACGCATCGGCTTGAGGCCTGGGACACGGCGGTGGCTGGTGACACCGTAAATCTGGCTGGTCTCCATGGACGCTGTCGTTGGCCATCTGTGCTGCGCACATTACCCAGGTGGGACTCTGGGGTTATGTTGCCCACCACATCCCAGAAATAATTTCGAGTACCCAGAGAAGTGTCGAAACAGTGTCGAACTAGTGTCGCCTCCCAGGGACCTACGCGTGAAAACCCTGGAGGTTTCGGTACTTTCTTGGTGCTCGACATTATTTCTGGTGATCAAGGCTAGAGTAGGTTGGAACATCCTAACTCTGGAGATGGTCTGGCACCACTTGTCTTCGATGATTTGCACGCTGTCCCTTCCTCCGGGCCGCTGCTCCACGCCGAGCCTTTCCGATGGTCGAGACGCGCAAGAACGCCCCACCGCACATGCGCGCCTCTACAGATCTGCTACCTCTGAGGCACTGGACACTGTATGATAGCGTGGCCTGGGGTGCGTAAACTGGTGGGTTTCACCCTGCCCTGCTCCTTCTCTCCGCGCTCAGCCCCCTCCATTGAAGGGGAACTGGGACGCACAAATAAATACACACAAATAAAAAGATCCCCATATTTCCCATATTTTCTGGGTTTTTGTCTTCCCCCCCACTTCCCATATTTTCCCATATTTTCCTGGGGATCGACGATTAATTGTGTCTGTGTGTTTTTCCCCCTCCTGATCCATCCGCGGCGCGCCTGGGGGGGGGGAAGGCAACGGGGGTGGGCCTTCTCACGGAAGGCTCACACAAGGCAGCTTGCCCTGCCCGGAGAGCCGCAGGGGGCTTCGGCCGGAGGGCCTCTGCGAAGCCCCGCCGCATCCCGCCCCCTCGGCACGCCGCCGACTCTCCAGGCTGGAGCAGCCCACTGCACATGCTCGGCGGGTTCGCGTCGTGACAGCCTGGGCGTCGGTCTCGTTCGACCTCCAACGATCAGCCGTTCCCGCAACGTCGGACCGTTCAACGTCGACCGGTTCTGGGTCGCTGGCGGTGTGCAACGTTGAACGCCGGCGGCGGGGTCGCCGCCAGTGGACACGGCGTGAAGCTGCCGCAACAAATCGTGCGCGGATGAGCGAGTGGCGCGCCGCTTTTTGTCGGAGAAGGATTGCCCTCCGCGCAGCCGCACGCAGAGGAGAGCACAGGAGGAGTCACAGCTGGCCCGAGGCCCAAAAAAAACGGAAGCGGCAGCGGGGTGTGATACTCGCACGGATGTGTGCGAAAGGACAGTTGCAGAACATGCACAGGCGAGAAGGTGCGGCTCCTAAAGAGAGGAACTGAGGAGCGCGAAGTAATGAGTCCGAAGACCAGAGATGAGAGAATAAGAAGAAGAAGAATAAAAAGAAGAAGACGAACAACAACAGCAACAACAACAACACAGAAAGGGGGTGAGAGGATGGAAATTGCGAAACGAAAAAAGACGATGCTACAATGACAATGACGAGAAAGAGAGGGTGGGGAGGGAAAGGAAGAGGAAGAAGAGAAGGAAAGAAAAGAAGACGAGAGAAAGGAGAGAGGCGAGAGAGAGGCACGGGAAGGGCCGAGCAAGCGCGCCCTTTTATCGTAATGAGATTGAGCCGCAAAACAAAACACGAACGTCAAAAAACTCCACAAACAAGGCGAAGAGTCCGAACGCGGAGCCAAGATCCCCCCTCCCACGCCCCTCCTCATTCCCGAACCTTCTCCGACTTGTCCTTCGCGCCCTCTCCATAACCACCATCACCATCCTCCTCCTCGTCCTCCTCCTCGTCCGCCTCCTCCTCCGCCTCCGCCTCCGCCTGTTCCTCCTCCTCCTCCTCATCATCATCAGCATCATCATCATCACCACCACCACCACCATCATCATGATCATCATCCTCATCATCATCAACCTCATCACCGTTATTGTTATCGTCATCAACATCATAAACATCGAAAGCAGCAGCAGCATCAGCATCAGCATTTGCATCAGCAGCATCATATACATCGTCATCGTCATCATGACGACCATCAGAATCATCATCAGCATCACCACCATCATCACCGCCACCTTCACCACCAACACCACCACTACCACCACCCATCATCCTCATCATCAGCATCAGAATAATCATCATCATCATCATCATCATCGTCCTCAGCATCAGCATTAGCCCCATCATCGTCATCATCATCATCATCATCATCATCATCATAATCATCATCATCATCATCATCATCATCATCATCATCATCATTATCATTATCGTCGTCGTCGCCGACTTCATCATCATCGTCATCGTCAGAATCGTCATCATCGTTGTCACCATTAGCATCATAATCTTCAGCAGCAGCATCGTCGTCTTCACCATCATCATCAGAATCATCAGTATCAGCATCGTCGTCATCACGATCAACAAGATAATCGTCAGCTTCCTCAGCAGCATCAGCATCATCAGCATCATCATGGTTATCATCACCATCACCATCGTGGTCATCAGCATCATTCGTTTTGCTTCCTCCCCATCGGACCCCTTTCGAAATTACAGTCTGGCCACAGCACGGCGTGGCACCTTCTTATCCCATATGAAACCTTCGCCCGACGCGTCTCCCTGCTGCGAGCGCGTGCGCTGCGGCATGGTGGCCCATCCAGGACCTGTCCCCCCCTCTCTCTTCCACCTCATACTCCTCAGCATCCTCCTTCTGTCCCTCCTCCCCCGTTCTCTTCTCCTCCTCCTCCTCCTCCTCCTCTTTCTCCTCCTCCCCCCCCTCCTCCTCCTCCTCCTCCTCCTCCTCCTCCTCCTCCTCCTCCTCCTCCTCCTCCTACTCCTCCTACTCCAACTCCTCCTCCTATTCCTACAGCTACTCCTACGTACTCCTGTTCCCACTGCTTCTCCTCCTGCTTCGAATATTGCTCCATCCTCCGCACACCCGCCCCATCCGCCCCCTCCGTACAACGATCGGCGGCGAGCGAAGGGAGGGAAGCGAGGAGGAGAAGGCCCTCTCCGAAGGCGGCGGGGCTTCTCGGAAGCCCTCCGGCCTTCCGAGAAGTTGTCTACGCCTCAGGGGAAGGCTTAGAAGAGTCCTCGAAAGGTCCGAGGGCTCCCGAGCGTTCTGAGAAGGCCCCCCCCTTCTCACTTCCCTGCCTGGGCTCGCCGCCGAAACCAACATCGTCACGACGCTGCGCTCTGGTATGACACGTGTGGCAACGCCGCGTGTTGCTGCTGGCTCTGCTGCTGCTGCCGCTCGCAGAGGGTATCAAACAAGTTTGGGAGCTATCAGGGCCTCGTGGACCGTCGAGGGGCGTCCTGTCGGCCTCTTGGGGCGTCTTGGGTTGTCTTGAGATCCTCTGAGGGACCTCTTGGGTATCTTGAGACCCTCTTGGAGCCTAGGCTGCCTGGGGACTCGGTTGGCTGCTGGGCCCCTCTTGGGGCCGTCTCGGGAGCCTCGCGGGAGCCTCCTGGGGCCCTCTTCGGGAACATTGGGGCGTGAGGGGGCCGTTTGGAACCTCTCTTGGGTCGTGTTGGCACCTCTCGGGCTCTCTTCGGTCGCCTTGGGCCCCTGTGAAGACCCTCGGGCCGTCAGGGTGCAACTGGATAATTCGTTGCTTGGGACATCAGGCTCCAGAGACACATTGCGCCCGCCCAGAGCAAAAAGCCAGATCAGGGTGCACGGGCCTGCTCGACGACGTGTGCTCCTTCCCCTTCAGACGAGTGGCTCTCGGACATCGCCGGGTGCTGGCCTTCTGGGCTTCCGGGGTGCACGCGGCTGCGCGCGCACCTCTGCTGGGTCTTCGTCCTGCGAGCGCACACCGCACAGCAGCCGAGGTAAACGAGAGACAAGACCACTGCCACCAGCGCGGATACTCCGCCAGGCCTTCCCGCCACCAGCTGCACGTAGGTTTTCCTTCTCGACGACATGGAATTGTTCATGTATTCTATCCCAGGAATGTTCCGAACTTCGATGTCGTCCCGGGTGGTTCGCACCATCTCGTCGAATGCGCTGAGCCTCTCGCCGCCTGCAGATATAACTCGTTTTATCGTATACTCGATCTCCTCAACACCGTTCGAATCGAAGCGATTCCGGGTCCAAGTGTTGCCGTCCGCTGTGACTTGATCCAATGCCCATGTGTCAACAATCACCACGAAAACCCTGAAGGGAAGAAGAGCATACGTGAAGTTCGAGTTAAACTCAAAGTCTAGGCACGAAAGCCCAAAGCTCCAAGAAAGCTGGACAAGCGCATACTCCCACCATCCAGCTGCACTCGAGTCATAAGACCATGAGTATGGCACACCGAAACGAAGACGCATGCGACGCGCTTCAGGATCCCATGACCCCGCCTGGAATGCAACCATGAGTTCTGGAAAAGTGTTCCCAGCCATCCAATACACACCACGGAGAACGTCGGGTAGCTGACTTGCGTAAAGGTCCGCAGAGCTGCCCTCAAAGAGCATCTCGGCGGCTCTGTCAGTTTCAAACCTTTGAACAACTGAAACGCTGAAGGTCCAAATGCAACAAATCAGCACGACGACCATCCCAACAACACAGCAGAAATCACAACAGTAAATATCATACAACATTCCTCGGAAACCATGGCAACAATCGGCATTCTCCCGACAGTGAGCAGCACTCCCCATGCACCAGGGTACTCACGTGGCTTGTGCCTCAAAAAGCTCGAACCAACGCGACTGGAAAAAGACGAAAAAGATCAGCACCGTACAATGCACAAGCGGGTGAGCCCAGTGGCATCAGCCTTCTCCCGAGGGGGGCGAACACGAACGTGTGATGTTTTACAGTTTCCTGGCCCCAGTACCCGCCGTGATCACACACCGTGGACTTGTTGAAGCACCCTTCCAACAGGTAGCCCAGAGTACTAGCATCAGCGCATGCAGAGCACACTGGCAAAGCTCAGAGAGATAATTACTCAGTCGCCCTATCAGTGGCCCAACAAGGCCCAATTACCGCCGCTGAAAGTAATGTCTCAGTCGTTCGGAACGCGCGCGAATCACAGCTACCCCTTTTGATGCCCCAATCGAGAGTGTTTAGGGACGTTTGAAAATCTGAGCGTCGAGATGAAGGACATGGACATGCGCCTTTAGGGCTCCGACTCCTTGTAAAGTATAAATGGCCCATGCTTTCACAATCGCGCCCTCGGCAATACGTAATGCATCCGCGCATACACCACCACGATCCCTCGTAAACTACCACCACGGGTCTGCGATCCCGTGCCCAGGATCCATCTCTAAATACAAAACCTTTCCAGGGCCCTGGTCCCTTATGAAACCCATATGCAGCACCGCGGGAAACGCTACGGATTTGGTGTTTGCGGTTGTTCATGATGCTGTTGGTTGATGCTGTTTGCGGTTGGTTGCCTCTGTTTGGCGTTGCTTGGCAGTGCGTGTCCCTGCAAAGTGGTGCCTGCTGCCGCTATTGCGTGCTGATGTTTACTACCGCGTGGGCACTTACTCGCCTCTTGGGAACCCGTTTGGGGGTTCCAATGCTCCATGTCCCAACCATCTTGTCGTGCCGTCCCGTTGAATTCGCATCGGCCCGCGTCACACGCCTCCCCCCTTTATTTCACCCATTCTTCCGTCCCTGTTCCTACACTCCGCACGGCCCCTCGCAAGTTCCGTGGCCCGAAGGTCCCGACGGCAGCGCCCGGATGGCGCATCCGCCGCACACGCTTCGTGGCCCCGCAGGAAGCTCCACCGAAGGCCCCAGTGACAGCACCCGCATGGCGTACCCGCCTCCGATTCGGCACGCTTCTCACACGCCCCGTAGCCTTGTGAAGCGCGAAGGCCCCAGTGGCTGTGCCCGCGCAAAGCACTCGTCCTCAATGTTGCATCCCTCACACGCTTCGTGGCCCCAGTGGCAGCGCCCGCCTGGCGCACCCGCCTCCAATTCGGCGCACCACTCACACGTTTCGTGGCCCCTATGCAGAGCTCCACCGAAGGCCCCAGTGGCAGCGCCCGCATGGCGCATCCGACTCTGATCCGGCACGCCGCTCACACGCATCGTGGCCCCCGTGACACCTTCACGGCAGGCCCCAGACCTCAGCGGCAGCGCCCGAAAGGCGCACCCGCCTCCAAGTCGGCACACCCCTCACACTTCTCGCGGCCCTACCGAGACCCTCCCCGAAGGCCCGAGGAACAGCGCCCGCCTGGCGCACCCGCCTCAGATTCGGCGCACCTCACACGGCCCGTGGCCTCAGAGGGGGGCGTTTCCGAAAGCTCCCAGCGACCACATGGCATGCCGGGCCCCCACTTCGGCACACCCATGACAGGGAAGAGCCACCAAGGCCCCACGAGGAGGTTCACAGGGCCCTTCAAGGAGGTTCACCGAAGGCGGCACCAACAACGGCATATGGTTGGGTACTTCGCCAGGCAAATGTTTCAAAAACATGGAGCCTGTTGGGCGGTACTGCTGATTTCTGTGTTGTTCGGGTGATTGGAGCAACCGTGATCATAGGCGCGACCCTGTCGAGGTCCAGGCCCTGAACTCAGGAAGAGCAGGAACATGAGAGGAGGACCAAGTGAGGGAGGAGGAAAGGACCGATTCGGCCGAGTCGCATACCTGAAAGGCCAGTGGACGTAGGTAGATTTCCAGATGTGCCACCGCGTGCGCAGATGTCTGCCTCATCCACCCCCTGCGTTCATCCTCCTCCTTCCCTTTTCTATTCCTCCTCCTCCTCTTCCTCATCCTCCTCCTCCTCTTCCTCTTCCTCCTCCTCCTCCTCCTCCGTCGCATAGCTGAAAGGCCAGTGGACGTAGGTTGTTTTCCAGATGTGCCACCGCGTGCGCAGATGTCGGCCTCATCCTCCCCTTGCGTTCATCACCCTCCCTCCTTTTCTATGCCTTCTCCTCCTCCTCCTCGTCCTCCTCCTCTTCCTCCTCCTGTTCCTCCTCCTCCTCATCCTCCTCCTCCTCCTCCTCCTCCTCCTCCTCCTCCTCATCATCATCATCATCATCATCATCATCATCATCATCATCATCATCATCATCATCATCATCATCATCATCATCATCATCATCATCATCATCATCATCATCATCATCATCATCATCATCATCATCATCATCATCCATCATCACCACCACCACCACCACCACCACCATCATCATCATCATCATCATCATCATATCATCGTCAGCAGCAGCAGCATCATCATCATCATCAGCATCATCATCATCATCATCATCATCATCATCATCATCATCAACATCATCATCATCATCATCATCGTCATCATCAATCATCATCCTCATCATCATCATCAGCATCAGCATCAGCATCAGCATCATCATCATCACCACCGCCACCACCACCACCACCACCATCATCATCATCATCATCATCATCATCATCAGCATCATCATCATCATAATATCATAATCATCATCATCATCATCATGAACATCATCGTCATCATCACAATCATCAAATGCATCAACAGCTTCATCATCATCATCATCAGCATCAGCATCATCATCAGCATCAACATCATCATCCGCAGCAGTATCATCATCATAATCATCATCGTCAGCATCAGCATCATCATCATCATCATCGCCATCATCATCGTCATCATCAGCATGATCATCCTCACCCTCATCCCCAATCTGAGCCTCATCATCATCATCATCACCAGCATCATCATCAGCAGCATCATCATCCTAATCATCATCATCATCATCATCATCAGCAGCATCAGCATCATCATCATCATCATCATCGTCATCAACATCACCATCATCATCATCTTCCGCCTTCCCTTCCTCCTCCTCCTTCCCGAAACCTGTGATTGTGGAGTCGTCACTCAGTGTTCCAAGGGAGTTGTTACGAGCTTTCAGCCTTGTCTTCACCATGACCCTGATGTTTCGTCTTTCGGTTTCTCCCCTTTACTTCTCTGTTTCTTTTTGGTCTCTGTCTCTCTCTCTCTCTCTCTCTCTCTCTCTCTCTTTCTCATGCACATGATGTGCATATCCTCCTCAGGCATCACAAACGAATCTCTTTGTCAGCGCAATAGGAACCCATTGGGAATCAATACCCAGGGATTCGATTGTAAAACCTCACAATCGGAACAGCTGGGAAAACACAGCGGTTTCGATGGAAAGCATTACTAAAGGAATCCGTTGGTCAGGTTTCGCGCTCCTCCCACTGCTCCAGGGAGGCCCCGCCAGAGCGAGAAGGTATCCGCACACCGGATTATTTATCAGGTTTCGTGCCCCTCCCACCCCTCCAAGGAGGCCCCGCCAGAGCGAGGAGGGTATCGGCACACCATATTGCTCGTGAGGTCTCGCGCCTTTCCCACACCTCCGGGGAGGCCCCGCCAGAGCGAGGAGGGCATCGGCACACCATATTATTTATCAAGTGGCGGGGGGGCCCTTCCAACCCTCAAGGGAGGCCCCTGTGCTTCCTTCATCGGGGAGTCTGCGATGCGGCGAGGCTGCTCCGTGGAGTGCCCCCCCATGCGGGAGCCAGCTGATTCGATCCAGGGAAGGCGGCGGGGGGGCCCTTCCGACCCTCCAGGGAGCGCCGTGCGCTTCCTTCATCGGGGAGTCGTCCAGGAGATGCGGCAAGGCTGGTCCGTGAAGGGCTCCCCCATGCAGGAACCGACAGATTCGATCCAGGGGAGGTGGCGGGGGGGCCCTTCCAACCTTCCAGGGAGGCCCCTGTGCCCCCTTCATCGGGGAGTCTTCCATGCGATGCGGCAAAGCTGTTCCGTGGACGGCCCCCCCCCATGCAGGAGCCAGCAAATTCGATCCAGGGGAGGCGGCGGGGGGGGCCTCCCAACCCTCCAGGGAGGCCCTTGTGCTTCTTTCATCGGGGAGTCTTCCATGCGATGCGGCAAGGCTGCTCCGTGGAGAGTTCCCCGATGCGGAAGCCAACAAATTCCATCCAGGGGGGGGCGCGGGGGGCCCTCCCGACCCTCCAGGGAGCGCCCTGTGCTTCCTTCATCGGGGAGTCTTCCATGCGATGCGGCAAGGCTGCTCCGTGGAGGGGCCCCCCATGCAGAAGCCAACAGATTCGATGCAGAGGAGACGGGAGGGGCCCCGTCCAACCCTCCAGGGAGGGCCGCGCGCTTCCTTCATCGGGGAGTCTTTCATGCGATGCGGCAAGGCTGCTCCGTGAAGGGCTCCAATATGCAGAAGCCAACCGGTTCGATCCAGGGGAGGCGGCGGGGCTACCTTCCAACCCTCCAGCGTAGCGATCATGGACGTGACCCCTGCCTTCCGCAACGAAAGTTTCGTCATGCGCTGTTGCGCGACGTGCAAAAAGCAGGTTCGGGACGGCGACCGCGCCATGTGCGCCGAGCACGGCAGGGCGCCCATCGAAGAGCGCGGGATCTTCCAGCTCGAGTTAACCAATGGCACGGGCCGCTGCGCTGCCATGCTCTACCACGACGTGGCCATGCAGTTCCCATGCTTCCCGGATCCTTCGACCGCCGCGGACGCGAGCTTCCAGAAATTCCTGCACACGCTCCGCGCCGCCACCTACTCCGTCCGCCTGATCTACCGCGTCAACGCGCTGCGCGAGGCGAACATCCTCGAGGCCAAGCTGCTCTTGCCCACGCTCACGTCCGCTGGCGCTGTCGGCCCGCGGCGCCTGGACCCGACCCCTATCGCCACCAGCAACGCGGCGTGCCCCTTTGCGAAGTGCGCCTCCGTGACTTTCGACCCAGACCTGGGCTTCGCTGTCGTGGGCGGCTCCATGGCAACCTCGGCCCGCGCCCTCGTCACCTTCCAGGACCCGGAAGAGGGCGAGGAGACAACGGTGCCCGACACCGCGCAGGGCCTCCGCGTCGCGCGGGTGGCCGCGTGCGCCCTGGAGCCCGCGGGCCAGGAGGCGCCAGCGAAATTCCGGTTCACTGCTGGTGGCCTCTCCACCGCCGTGCAATGGTTGGTTCGCAAGCACGACAACACTTTCGTCGTTCCAGACGCACTATAAGGTGGCCCCGCCCGACACAGCATTGCGGGCGCACTACACGCAGAAGACGATGGCGATCCCGAAGGGCCCGCCACTTAACTTCGGCCTCTCCATCACGCCATTGAAGCGCAAGCGTGCCCTTGACGAGGCGACCACGGCCTCCGCGGCTGCGGACGTGACAGTCCGCAGCCGCGGCCTGCTCGAGGAGTGAGATACTGCTCCAGAGTGGCAGCCGCGATGGGTGACGGACTGCTCAGAGGAGCGACAGCCCGCAGCCGCGGCCTGCTCAAGGGGTGAGATACTGCTCCAGAGTGACGACCACGAGGGGTGAGATACTGCTCAGAGAGGCGGCCCGCTCCTGCAGTCGTTTGATCTCGATATTCCGTAAAGTTCCCAGCTGTGAGTACGCGTGAAAACACCGGCGCCGGTGATGAGAATATATAGATGATCTTCTGAACTGAACTCGAGCTGCAGATGAGCTACAGAGCTGTTCGGCACAGCAATCGGAAGGCAATCCTCAGGCGCGCTACCAGGCACCTAGACTCGGTCTGCTATCAGCACAGAAGCCGAAACACTATTCATACTCTGCTATTTTTTTGGAGATGGAATTGGTTTCTTGACTTAACTCGAGCTGCAGATGAGCTACAGATCTGTTCAGCACAGCAATCGGAAGGGAATCATCAGAGGCGCTAGTTACAAGTATCTAGACGCCTGACATCAGTCTGCTATCAGCGCTCCGGCTGATCAACTATCTGTACTCTGCTTAGTTGGTGGAGATGGTATTGGTTTTCTTGACTTAACTCGCGCTGCAGATGAGCTACAGAGCTGATCAACACAGCAATCGGAAGGGAATCATCAAGGGCGCTAGTTCAAAGTATCTAGACGCCTGAAATCAGTCTGCTATCAGCGCTCGGGCTGGAAAACTATTCGTACTCTGCTAATTCTTTGGAGATGGTATTGGTTTTCATGATTCAACTCGAACTGTAGACAAGCAAGGAAGCTCTACGAGTCTCCCTGTGGTAACCAAGGTTGACGGTTTACCGCAGGTGCCCAGTTTTACTCCCAGTATTAGTCTCTAAACTTTATTCTGACAGAGAATCAGCTCTGTAGAGAGAGCTTCACAATCCAAATATTAGCGGGAGCCGACATCAGGTTAACACCGTAAAATGCAAACTTGGTAGCGTCCATAGCAACTGGCGCCGGCGGTGAACCGTCAACCTGGTATTTGCGGTCTTTGCGATCGACTATGCGGGCCGCGAGGCTCAGTCGCTAGCAGGAAAAAGGGCGGCATACAGAGTAAGGCAAGACACCCACCACTCTTTGAGCGGAAGTGGGCACATGCGAAACTCTTATGCCGAACAAAGTGAAAAGCACGCGGAGCTCTTATACCAACATGCGCGCATGCCCGACACACACACACAGCATGGCAAGAGTCAATGCACACAAAGTCCGAAGTATGTCGAAACCTCAGAGACACATCGACGATGCGACAACCGACCGTGTTACGATATTTCCATCAAAGAAACAACATGCACAAACCAAAGAATGTAAGAGAATGGTGATGCTGATCGGACCCCTCTCAGAGGCAGGCCCGAGCACGACGCATCCGCCTGGATGTGAGGCTCCGCACGTGAGGCTTCAGTCACAATCAAAGTCCAATTCAGTCAGAAATGTGGCGACGAAGCAAAGAGAATAGAGGAAGGAACAAGCACAAGTGTCACACAATGAATTCAATGTGCTATCCGCACTCGAAAGAGATCAATATGCAATCCACTCAAGGCAGATCTGGAAGAAACGAGACTTACGAGCACCACTCTAGGCAGTGAGGAACAAGTCCGCGTATACAAATTGCCACCACCAAACCGCAACGAGAAATGAGTATGAGAGGCAGACAATGACCAGCAAGATGTAATACGAGCACCACTCTAGGCAGTGAGGAACAAGTCCGCCTATACAAATTGCCACCACCAAACCGCAACGAGAAATCAATATGAGAGGCAAACAATGACAAGCAAGATGTACAGGGAGATGGGCAGTTGCGTAAGCAGAGCAAAACAACACGCTAGCTCAACGTTCACCTTCGCGGAGGTTCCCCAGGCAGGAGAAAATGAACGTTCGCGGAGCCTTGAGCCTTGAGAGCTTGAGCTGGGAACCTCGTAGAGCTCCTTGCACGCACTAGAGTGCTCAGAATCGAAGCAGAGAACTTCGTGTAAGATTTTCTGAAAATCTTCTTTCTTCGATGTCACTATGAGGTTGGTTCCCGGGAGTGAACCGATAGTAGAACTGCATATACATAGGAGAAATGCTCTCAGAATGAAGCTTATATGCTAATGCTCAGCTCAAAAATCTGCTTTGGCAATATGACCTGTCAAATCTCTATCAAATCTTAAACCGGGATAGCACAGAGGCACTTACACAAACGCAGCACGCGCACGCGAGCGCGTGGAGACGCTGGACACCTCGCGTGACGGAGCTCTGGAGACGCTGGAAAGCTTCGCTGCGAAGCTCTGAACACTGGGAGCCGGCGGTAAACCAACCAGGTTACCGCCCGAAGCCTCGTAGATCTCTTTTCTCGCGCAGCGCCGCTCGGAACACTTCCCAGGAAGCTTTCTCAAGCGTGAGCTCAAACACTCGAAAAACACGTTTTCAATTTTCATACAGAGTGGGTTCCTTCAAGTGTTTGATAGTAATACTGCAGCTATGGAGCTGAGAATTGAACCGGCAAGCGCGGCAAAACCCACTAGAGGTGCGAGAAATACTGGTTCTCAGCACGAATTATAAATCTCTCACACTCTGCGAAAAACTGACCCCACGTTGACACATTGTCCGCCTGGGCCGGGTCGGCCAATTGGGCGCCGGCGGTAAACCGTCAACCTTGGTTACCGCCGGGAGACTCGCAGAGCTTCCTTGCTCATCTGCAGCTCGAGTTCAATCATGAAAACCAATACCATGTCCAAAGATTTAGCAGAGTACGAATAGTTGTCCAGCCCGAGCGCTAATAGCAGATTGATTTCAGGCGTCTAGATACTTTTAACTCGTGCCTCTGATGATTCCCTTCCGATTGCTGTGCTGAACAGCTTTGTAGCTCATCTGCAGCGCGAGTCAAGTGAAGAAAACCAATGCCATCTCCAAGAAATTTGCAGAGTACGAATAGTGTTTTAGCCCGAGCGCTCAAAGAAGACTGATTACAGGCGCCTACATACGTTCAACTAGCGCGCCTGATGATTGCCTTCGAATTGCTGTGCCTAAGAGCTCTGGAGCTCATTTGCAGCTGGAGTTAGGTCAAGAGAACAAATTCCATCTCAAAAAAAAATAGCAGAGTACGAGTAGTTGGTTGACTTCTGCGCCGATAGCAGACCGAGTCCAGGAGTCTAGTAGCGCGTCCGATGATTTTCTTCCGATTGCTGTGCTGAACAGCTCTGTAGCTAATCTGCAGCTCGAGTTGAGTCAAATGGAAATCGCGCGAATAGCGCGAAAAGCGGACCGATGGCAGACCGAGTCCAGCTCTCTAAGCACTGGAAATCGCGCGAAGCGGAGCTCGACGGTCACTGGGAAGCACCCCTGAAGCGCTGCTGAATCGCTGACGGCGCGCTGCCGAGGAAGCTTCGCGAGGCCCCTGGAGCACGTTGTACGGGAACGCATTGGAACAGGCGCTCCAGGACGCGCTGCAGAACCCGGGGAGTCACTTGGTAGCGTCCAAAACCCGGAGAGCAAAGGGCAAACACACTGGGCGCCGGCGGTAAACCGTCAACCTGGCTACCGCCGGGGAACTCGTAGAGCTCTCTTCTTGCCCAGCTCCTCGGAACACGTCACAAAAGAAAAAAAAAGTTGCGGACTTAGATCGAGAAGCAGACTCTGTTCAGAGCTCTAGATGCTTCAGCCAAGCGCTCTTGATGATTGCGTATCGGTTTCTGTGCGTACCAACCCTGTAGCTGTGCTACAGCTAGAGCTTCCGTGCAGAATACGGACAGCGCCTTTGAAGAGAAATGAGAAATACAGACCCAGCTCGAGTAGCAGAACGCGTTTAGGCCTCTCGCTGCAAACGACGCACGCGCCTGGTGATACTGAATCGGTTTATATGCATACCAGCTCTGTAGATCCTCTGAGTCGTGAGTTCAGCACAGAAAACCGACATCAAAGGTCAAGATCACTCGAATAACACAAATAAGTTCGTGGACCTTGCCGAAGACCGACTTGCGACCTCTGGATTGCTTTCTGTAAACATCAGCTCTGTAGCTCTCTGAAATCTCGACTTCAGTACAGAAAACCGTGAACGCGATGACTCGAAACGCAGTTGGTTCCAGCAAGTCTTTTGTCGTAATATTGCAGCTACGGACCTGGGAATTTACCTGAAAGACGCGGCATAACCCACTACACGTGAGAAAAATACCGGTTCTCAAAATGAATGGTCAAATGTTCAAACCAAAGCAAAAGCAATGGGAACTAAACCGTCAACCAAGATACCGCCGGGCACCTCGTAGACTCTTTTCTAGCACTGCGCTCCTCGGAACACATAAGGACGCTTCTGAAGCGAAAGCCGAAAAACTCGAAAAAACACGATTTTCCAGTTGCCATCCAAAGACGGTTCCTCCAAGAGTTTTGATAGCAATACTGCCCCTAGCGCCATAAAACATTTACCAGGAGGTGCGCCACAGCCTACTACAGGGAATGCAAGTCTGACTTCTGCAAACGAACTTGAAAATTCTGCATAAAGTGAAAAAAACCGACCCCAGGTTACGACATTGTCTCTTTTGGTCGGCCTGGCCAACTAGCTCCAGCCTGCGCCCGAATTCCTCTTAGCTCTTTGCCGAAGAGGGAAAAATACAAGTTCTCAAAATGAATATCGAAATATCTTTCAAATCAAAGAAAAAGCAATCTGAAGTCGTCACATGTTCTCTTTCGGTCGGGTCAGCCAACTGGCGCCGGCGGTCAACCGTCAATCTGGTCACCGCCGGGAACCTCGCAGAGCTCCTCCCACGCGTAAAGTGCTCAGAGTCGAAAGAGAGCTTCTGGAGGCATTTCTCGAAAAAATGAACATTCATTTTTTCTTCATCTCGAGACGACGTTGGTTCCGCCAAGTGTTTTGATAGTAAATCTGCGCCTACAGAGCTCATATTAAGACGAAGAGGCCCTCACAATCGTTTACAGGTGCGAAAAATCTGGTTCCTCAAAATGAATGGTCAAATATATTTCAAATATTCGCTAAACCACCCAAAAGTTACATTGCCCTTTCTGGTCGGGTCGCCAAACTGGGCGCCGGCGGTAAACAGTCAACCTATCTTACCGCCGGGGAACTCGTAGAGCTTCCTGACCACATATTATGTCCACAGAATTAACAGAGAACGAATGGTTTCTGAGCGCTGACAGCGGACTTGCTGTGCGTGTAGAAAATACCGTTAGGGAGAAAGTTGCAGAGTACGAATTCTGCGCCAACAACGGACCCAAACCAAGCGTCTAGATACTTCGCGCCTCATGATGTCCTTCTAATTTTCTGGCCACTCGAGAACAGTGAAGAAATTCACGATCATTTGGAAAAAATATTGCTCGAATACGAATAGTTTTGTGAAGCTACCTCGGATAGCAGACCGCAAACGCTCCTGATGCTTCTGGATCGGTTTCTTTACGCACCAGCTCTGTAGCCCCCCTACAGCCCAAGTTGAATACATAGAACGGAAAATGTTTGTCAAAATGACTCGAAGAATACAAATGGTTTTGCGGACCTAGCCCGAGTAGCAGACCCAGTTCAGACCTTTGGATAGAACAGACAAACGGGCCTGATGATTCTAAATCAGTTTCTGTGCATATCAGCTCTGTAGCTCTCCTACAGCCTGGGTCACGTGCGAAAACCGACAGCGGTCCTCAAGGTGACTCAAACGATACGAATAGTTTCGCGGCCCTAGCCCAAGAAGCAAACCGAGTTCAGACCTCTGGATGCAACGAACGAGCGCGCCTGATTATTCTGCATCAGTTTCTGTGCGTATCAGCTCTGTAGATTCCCTGGAGCTGGAGTAATTCGTAGAGCTGCCCTTAGAAAGTTATTGCTGGAAGCTTAAGAGTAATTCCGGCGCGCTGGAGAGCTAGTTGGCACGAAAAATCTCGACTGACCTTTTGCTGACTTTTGGTCGGTTGAAATTTTTGTTCTCGAAATTCCTCAATTCGTTTGAGCTCTAGTATTTTTCCCCGTGATATTCGATCTATTTCCCACTCGCCATCTTGATCTCAGCTCGATCGGGGACCTTTTACTGCCAAAAAGCACACGGGCGGCATCGGCCGTTTGGAGTCATCTTAATACGCGCTGTCGGTATATTAGACTTAACTCGAGGTACAGAACAGCTACAGAGCTGGCAAGCACACCTTATCGATTCAGAATGATCAGGCGCGTTCGTCTGTTGCATCCAGAGGTCTGAAATCGGTCTGCTAGCCGCGCTAGGTCTGCAATCCTATTCGTATTACTGGGCGCCGGCGGTAAACCGTCAACCTTTCTTACCGCCGGGGGACTCGCAGAGCTTCCTGACAACATATAATGTCGAAGAAAATTGCAGAGAACGAGTAGCTTTTCAGCCCAAGCGATTTCAGACCTCTCGATGCAACAGCCGAACGCCCCCGATGCTTCTCGATAGTCTTCTGTTCGAGCTCTGTAGCTCTCCTACAGCCCGAGTTACGCGCGTAAATCGACAGCAACCCTGAAGATGACTCGAACAATACGAATAGTTTGGCAAACCTAGCTCGAGTATCAGACCAAGCTCGGGCCTCTGAATGCAACAGGCGGACGCGTCTGATGTCTCCGAATCGATTCCTGTGATTACCAGCCCTGAAGCCCCCCTACAGCCCGATTTAAGTGCAGAAAACCGACAGCATCTCAGGATGACCGAACAATACGATAGCTTCGCGGACCTAGTTCGGGCATCAGACCGAGTTCCGAGCTCTGGATTCGACAGGCGGACGCGCCTGATGTCTCCGAATCGATTCCTGTGACTACCAGCACTGTAGCCCCCCCCAAGTACGATAAACCGAACAGTACAAATAGTTTCGCGATTCTAGAGCGAGCAGCAAACCGAGTTCAGAGCTCTGGGTTCAACAGACAAACGCGACTGATGACTCTGAATCGGCTTCTGTAAGTATCAGCTCTGTAGCTGTAATATAGCTCGAGTTAAGTACAGAGAACCGAGAGCGCCTGTCAAGATGACTCGAATAATACGAATAGGTTTGCGGACCTAGCT